AATCCTTCTCTTGGTTTCCTCTACACTCATGACCTGTGCACCTGGCACCTTCATCACTGGCCAAAAGAGTGTCAGAAGATGCATGACAGATCTAAAGCAAAGGGCCAGCAGCCCTCTCCCTACCTTTGAGGAAGCAGTCCTTGCTGTGTACGCTGACAATCCGCGTGCCCAGCAGGCAGGCTGCACGGCGAAGCTCACAGTGGTTCCCATAGAGCCTCCCATCGGAGCCACACACAGGCATGTAACGGGGTCTGCACACCTCCACACAGTGGCACGAGGGCTGCCCTGTAGCCCTATCAAACAAGCACCTGCTCCCGTGGCTGCAGAGTTTCTTCCCACACGAGGCTGACAGCCCAGGGCTGGGAAGACCTGTGGATGCACACAAATGCACAGGGTTAGTTAGCTCAGGGCTGGAGATCAGAGTTGCAAACAGTCTATGTTGCTCTGTCAGGTCACAAACAGTACAAGTGTAAAGACTTCAACTTCCTATGAGGTTGAGGTGACCCAAGGTGGGATGAAGGGCCTGAGTACAGCATGGAGTGCTTACTCCTCCAAGAAGTAGCTATTGGAGTCAAAAGGGGTATCTTGCTGTAAGGAGCTTATGTTTTTATGAGATTCACTCTGAACACCTCAGACAGGGCACCTGCTCCTCTGGAACCCTTGGGAGGGCCCTTGGTGAATATTTGTGCCGTCATGGACTTGCTCTTCCTTGCTGTCAATTGGATCAATGAAGATAACCAGTCCTGTGTGTTCACTAAGAAGTGCCTTAGAGCAGGGGACAGAACTGATAACCACTGTTCCTGTGCCCTGAGGCCACTCCACAGTCTGGATCTGCATCGAAATCATTATAAAACTGGTTTCTTCCCCCCATCCCTTTCTCTGTCTCTTCTATTTTCTCCTCTTAGTCTTTTTCTTTCCTTTGAGACAGAGTCTCACTTAACCCAGACTGGCTACAAACTCCCAATCCTCCTGCCTCCACCAGGTAAGTGTTGGTATCACATGCTACCACACACACCTTTCTCTTTCTAGGTGATGACTTGCAGCCAGTCTGTGCACTAGGTCTCTGAGAGGTCTCAAAGATGAATAAGCCATAACTCTACTTCTCTCTGACCTAGTCATCCTGGTTGTAGATAGAATGTGACAGAGCCATGTTACAGCTAAGTTAGTGCTGTGGTTCGAATGAGAATGACCCCATAGGCTAATATATTTGAATACTTGGTCTCCATTTAGAGGAACTGCTTGGGGAAGATTAGGAGGTGTGACTTTATTGGAGGAGGTTTCTCAGTGGGGGTGCGCTCATGCCATTCCAAATTAACTCTGTCTCTCTCTCTACCTTGTACTTGTTTGTGGATCAGATATGAGCTCCCAGCTACTGCTCTGAAGACATGCCTGCTTGATTGCTTCCATGTTGTCTGCCATGATGGTCATGGACTCACCCTCTGAACTGTAAGCTCCCCAACAAACCCTTCTATGAGTCCCTTTGACCATTGTGTCTTTTATCATAGCAGTTTTAAAGTAACTAAGACAGGCAGTCCAAGGGCTATGGGAGTTTAGGAGCTTCTTTTTGGGCCAGTGTCCAAGGCAAAGGTATAGCCGTAGATATAGCTGTAGAGAGAGCTGAGCAGAGGAACTGAGGGGTGCTACATCAACCTTGGAAAGCCATTGCAGAGTCTAGAGAGAAAGTACGGTGAGGAGGTGAGTGGGGAGACCGTACCATCAGCAGCAGGGCCACCAGCATCCTCCTCCAACACCCCACCAGTCCTCTCCAGCTTGATCTTTTATCTCAGGACAGAAGGCTGAGACATGGAATTTGGGTCTGCCACACTGCTTGGATGGCCCCTGTGTCTGACACCCACCCACAAGGATCTCGGGACAGTGGTGCTCAGAGCTCACAACCTGAGGCAGGAGGCTGGGGTGGCTTATTTCACTGATAAAGAGAAAAGTCCGTGCACAGCACTTTAATATCCCACCATATGAGAAGAGTCCAGGGAATTAGAGGATGACCCCATGCCATCAATGACAACATGTGACAGGCTGGGAATTAAAAAAAAAAATCCAAAGAATTAAAATGTGGGTACAGAATTTATAGCTGTGGGGATTTCTGCTTTTTGTTTTGATGCATGGTCTTCCATGCTTGTTATGCACATCTGTCATCTCTGCATCTGGGAGAAGTTCAAGGCCAGCTTTGGGTACACAATGAGTTGAGAATAGTCTGGACTACGTAAGACCAGGTACCACATACCAAAACCAAAACATCACATGAACAACTAAGTCCAAACAAATAAGCTGTCGCCCATACAATATACAAGACGGAACGGCCCTGGTGTCAACACCGAGACTTTAACCCCAGCTTCTACTCTCTTGAACAAATGATGTATATGGGGAAAAACCAAGAATCCTTTTCCTGTTTTGGGTTAGGTCTGCTTTTCATCATCATAGATTTGAAAGGGAAAAAAATCAGTTATGAGAAGATTAACTACTTGATTCAATAACTCATTTAAATTCCCCTAACCTTGGCAAGTTAAGAAGTATCGACTTTTTTCTTGCATCATAATAAACTCGAAGGTCAACAATCTCTCTGCAGAGTAAGAGTGCAGAATCAGAGTGGGCAGGAAAACCTCCCTTATCTGAGGGGCTGACTGTCTGTCCCCACAGCCATGAAAAGGCTCCTTGGCACTATGAAGCCACCCCTCCTACCCCTCCTGGAGGTTGACCAGTGGCAGTGGGAAGGGAAGGGTGCAGAGAGCAGGCTCTTTGCAGAGGACATTCTGGGCTGGAAGCTCCCCCCCCCCCGCCAGCACTTCTGGTTGCTTTGCCACCTAGTGTGTTTGATTAGCAGGATTCTCCTGGGTTGTTGGGAAATGGGCCACCCTGGAAAACGCTGGCAGCTACCAGAAGAAACTAACACCGTGCTGAAACAATCAGCTTTTGTTTCTTTCCAAAGACAGGGCAAGGAAAGTGAAGCCTTAGCACTCACTAGATGCTGTTTCAATTTCAACTTCCATGTGCAAGCAGAACAGAACTGACTAATGGCTCATTTTGAAAAGAAACAGCTCAAGCCTTTTGCTTCTCAGATCCAGCTGTGGGGTTTCTTCTCTCTCTGTGACTACCCCCTTGCCCTCCCCCAATGGCTATGAGCTCCAATTTACCCTGGGGGGTATTTCTTCTTATAGTTAGCCCATATTCTTTCCCTTTATCCATTCCCCTAGAACATGTGCCCTGGCTCTAGCTTTAGGAGTCTCCACAGGTGCTGGGCCATTTTCCTTCTATGACCATGGAATCATCAGGTTTTAAGAAACACAACAATTTTAAGGACAATTTAGTGCCAATGCTCCAATGCCAGGTCAGGGGCTGGCATGGGGAGGGTGATGGGGGTCACAGGCAGTGGTGATGCATCTCTGCCTGCCTCTCCTAAGGAAGGAGGTGTAAGGTGCCTGCCTCTCCTAAGGAAGGAGGTGTAAGGGTGGGGCATGGAGGATAGACATATCCCTGGAGGTGCCTTCTGCAGTCAAGAGAACCAGAGACCACCTTCATTCAGATAGGGGCAGCCACTCCACTTGGCACTCTTCCTTGAAAGGCTGGATTGTATTAAACACCACTGGGATCCATTGTTCTGTGATTAGCTTGCAGGTGACTTTCCATAAACTGTGTACCAAGGGGGTCACAGTTAAGTAAACACCTTTACCAACCTGTGGCCATGGAAGACAATGAGAACTCTCACCTTCTCGCTCTGATGTGGAAATCAGCTGTAGGCAAATATTTGATTCCTAATTATTTGCAGTTAAGACAAAAGGAGTGTTGAAGCAGTGTATGTCCCTCACCAAAGCTGTGGATAGAAGGCCCCATGGGAAGCTGGGCTTGCCTGGGCAGGGACAGGCAAGGACAGGCATGGACAGAGACACTGACCATGAGGTAGCTTCTTCATTAAACAAACCCCTCGTTGCCACTTCCTTTTTGTCATTAAAGCAGAATGAATTTGCCACTCCTACCGGGATGATGATAAAATAGTAATGGGAAAAGTAACGGAGTGAGACTCTCGGCAACTGCCTCCAGTGTTTATGAGGACAACCGTGATGCGTGAAAAAGATAGCATGTGCCTAATTTATAGTCATAAAGAAAGTCATTTACCCAGGTTAAAAACTGATCATCTTGCCAAATAAACTGCTTTTCAACACTAATTAAATTTACTGAACACGGGGAGACATGGGAATTGATACATTACAGGGATAGTGGTAGAGACACAAATCTATTTGTACTTGTTGGTGCTGAAGACCCCTGCTGCATTTACAGACAATTCTGGATCAGAGTGCCACAGACCTGGCACTGTGGCTAGAAGCTCTGAGCTTGGTTGTAGAAGGTGTAACTCAGCACTAGCCTGAGCCCAGGGGGAGACTTTTCAATGTGGGTGAGTTTCAGGATGGCTTCTGGATGCAGAAAAGGGAGTCTGATTCACCTGTGGTTGTGGGTGAGGCTTCCTCATAGCCCAGTGCCTTCAAGAACACAGGTGGGTTACTTTGCTTCCAAACCTGGTTCCTTGGTCCTCAGTATACCCAGCAGTGTTTCTATCTCTGAGATGGTATCCAGGGGGAAGCTACAGTTGAATGTTCCCTTCAAGATTCCTGTTGGCATGCATTATGCTCGTGATAGAGTTAAAGAGACAGGGCCTTTCAGAGGTGCCTGGGGCACTGACATAGCTTCCATCCTCACTGCTGTGGCAAAACAGCCAACAAAAGCAACTCACAGAAGCAAGGGTTTCCCCTGGCTCCCAGTTTTTTGATGGGACAGTCCCTCAGAGCAGCAAGGGTGTAAGGCAGCTGCTCACATCACATCCCCACTCAGAAAGCAGAGAGTGAGGAATTCTGGTTCTCAGCTCACTTTCATTTATTTTGGGAACCCAGTCCATGGGACAGTGGTACCCACATTCAGGGTAGGTCTTCCCTCCTTAGAGAAACATTTCTGGAAACATCTGTATTGACAGGTTCAGAGATGAGTTTTCATGGTGATTCTAAATCTAGTCAAGGTGACAATGAAGATACACTATGATAGTAATGATTTTGTGAGTGCTATCACAGGAGAGAGGGAGCCAGCACACAGGTAGGTTCAAACACAACTCATTCCATCATAGCCTCAGCTCCTTCTTGCCTTCTTGTTATATCACAAAGCAAATGAGGGGACCATGTTCTTGGATTTTTTCAGCTTCCCCAAACAAATAACAAATAAACTTCTTTTGTTTATAATTTACCCAGTCTATGGTGTTCTGTTAAAGGAAGAGAAAATAGACTAAGATGAAGGGAAACCCTCTCACTTTCCCACTTGGGGATGAGGGTTGCTGGCTGGCATGTTTATCCTGGTGTTGTGTCTCGGTGTCT